GGCTTTCGATCTGTCATAGAAACACCTTAGTAGAAAATCGCTTCCTGTTTCGTAAATTGCGACCAAAGTCAAAAAAAATTGAATTTTTGGACGTAAATTTCCGTGGGTCCCGTTTGTGTTATGGAAATTTACGTCTCGAAAAATTTCCTGATGTAGTAAATCGCGAGTGAAATTGAAAAAACATAAAAAAACTTGTGCAAATTTTTGCTTCACCAGTGGTGATCATATTTAAACCAAAAATAACCGGTTCGGTTTGATTTAATCCAGTTCAGTTTCAGTTCGGTTTCAGTTTGAGTGATCAGTTCTCAGTTTTAAACTGAACCAGAAATTTTGGTTCAGTTTCAGTTTGAGTGCTAAACCGAATCAAATCGAACCGAACCGAACCGTTGAGAGCTTTAGTGACAAATTTTGTGGTGAAAAAGCTTATCATCTTTATTGCTATATAAATAAATATCAGAATTCAATCCATATAGTTAGTATAAAAGTATAAGTTGACTTCGACAATGCATATATAATGATAAATCATTTTTCCGCGATCACATGAGGTTGCTCCCTTGGAGCTCTATGTCACATGCATAAAACACTTGTAAAAAATACGTATCTTAGTCACAATATAATTTACACAATAGCATAGCTAAATCGATTTATTTTTTTAATAAATTTTCTAATATTCAAGTCAACGTATATTGTTGTGCAAAGTTATCTATTCAATAGCAATATAATATCAAATAGAAAATTCTTGTGAATCAGCTGGGTATTTTAAGAGTTCTTTTACGGTATTGGGATATTCTATAATGAAAAGTATTATGTACTCCATCATATTAAATATTTCACGAAATTGGAAGCAGAAATCCCAGCTAAGTGAAAAGACCACCGATAGTATTTTTTCATCTACGTAATTATTTTTGCCCCTTAGAGATAATTCCCTTAATATAAGACGGTCCCCTATCACATAATAGACAAAAAGATTTGAATGATGATCTACTCTTAATTTAATAAAAATAACACTTACTGATTCCTTGAATAGTTAGCAAGTGAATTTTTCACGTAAACTGAATATCATAGTTAAGGAAAGTTAAAAGTATAGCATTCAAAGAGTCAATTCGTTCCCAAAGTGTTTTATGAGAATCATCAATTGGATGGTTTTTTAAAAAATCAGTAGGAGCTCCACTCATTTCTAAGAATATGATTTGGCAATTATCTGACAACCGGATACCAACTATATCAATTTTTAATCAGTCTTTATTTGATGTATTGCCTTCACCAATAAGATGCTCATGCATAGGTTCAACATTATGTTTGATCCTATAGATTTAAGTGCATAAGTAATTACGTTTATAAATTATAAAAAAAAACTTAAATAATATCAATTACCAATGAAAATATATTTTATTAACAAATGTTACTTGAAAATAAATAAATAATGGGAATATTTTGTTAATAATCCAATCTCTTTCAGTAGTGTCTATATACATAATGTGACTGGGAATATCATTTATTTTGTGGACGCTAATAATTAATTGTCATTAATATTATATATGAATTGGAGCAAATATTATAAACATTACTATTAAAATTAACTTACAAGTCTATCAAAACCTTGCCAATATATTTAATCATAGTATGATCAAATTCATTTTTTGCAGTATATGGATTTAAAATTTGTATTCTGATTTCCTCTATCGAAAATTGCAAAAGTGACAGGAAAAAAGGTTCAGTATATAAATAAGAGCATTTAATAGTTATTTTTCAAGGGTAGACATTTACTTACTTCCAAAATATTTTCTAGTCATTCACACCAATCTACAGTATTGACCGTGATTTACCTTCAAATAAATACGATTAACTAACAACTAAAGGCAGGGAAATATGTATAGCGAACACACAG